GAAAATTAAATTTTATTTTCATTTCAATGTGTTTCGAAGAACTTTGATAGCAATGTACAAAAACTATACTTTATTTAAATTTGATTTTTAAAGTTTTTTCTCTTAGAAACAGACGGAGTAAGTAAATATTTTTTTAACCAGATTTAACAGCTAAAGTAACACGTAGATTAAAGGTTTATACTTGTAAGTTGGAGTTATAAATCGCAAATAATATAACATGAGCCCGTGACTATACATCGGGCACAATAAATAAAAAATGTGTATCTACATTTATAAAGTTTAATATCACCAAAGAAACCACCATAGGTGCGGGTCTGCGGAAGGTGAGCAAGGGTAGCTTGCTTTCTGACTAGGCGACACAGCTGTGGTCCAATAAAGCCGATGTCCAGCTTGAGTGTAAGTGCAATAATGAATCGCGGGTCCGGCTTGGACCGGAAAAAGGAACAGGGTGGTTTTCACTCAGTAAGAGTGTGACAAAATATCTCGCACCACGTATGCTTTAAAAAAAATACAACACCAAAGACAGACAATTTTCAAACTACTTGAAAGCACTTCTTGTTTGACTGGAAGATTAATGATCACATATTTTGATGCACATATATATATTATTAATTATTCTACTTTTTTGAATACTAGACAGACATAATACCTAAATTATTTCAAGGTGACGGTTTTATACTGTGACAGTTTTATAACGATACAATGACGCCAGTTTTGGCTATGATCGTGATGTCACGAGAGCCGTAAAGGCGTCTGGCACTAAGCTAGTAAACGATACTATAAGAAAACTGTATCTCTAAAACTGAATGACGTAATTGGCCTGTTTACCAGCACCCTTTTATTTTCTATTTGCATATCAACTGCCCTCCTACGCCTTGAGCTTAGTTTAATAATGTGTAACCATAGCGTCACGTTTTTGTAGCCTTTACTAAGGCAGGGTTTTCACGTGTTATGGGACCTATAGAAGTTATAGAAGTTAAATTTGTTATTGAAAAAATGTAAATATTAAATGGTTTTGTGCTAGTACAGTACTATTGTCACCTGTCAGCCCATTGCTATGCAAAGGCCTCTTGTCACACAAAAAATAAACCAGCAAAGTCACTACACTTCCTTAAGGCGGGTTAGCAACTTCATAATTCGAAATTACCTTCACCTTTAGTTTGTGAGAGAGAGAAAGAGAGAGAGAGAGAGAGAGAGAGAGAGAGAGAGAGAGAGAGAGAGAGAGAGAGAGAAAGAGTTTGGGATCTTTGAAAGTACATGTAACTCGAAAAAAGTCACATTGGCAATTGCCCGGTCTTGCAATCCTTATGCATGAGAATTAGGTGCCTCAATCTCTTAGCCACCACGACATTTTACCTATGTACACTCGGTTGTTCGAGGCGATTACTCCCGTCACTAGAAATTCGCAAACCAAAGTAAATTTCGGTGGAAACACTATATTATGTTGGTGTTTGTTTATATGAGCAACATGTGCAAATAGAGGTCTGTTTGTTACCAACACATAGCCTCAACTCCAATATGTTACGTCATATTTTACCCAGATATCGCCACTAAATGATTCGGATAATATGCGCTCCGGATTATCCAAGGTAAAAGATCAATTATAAAAATATTTTTTTTTACTTTAGCATTAACGCGACTTTATAAAAACAATTTGCATTTAGTTAATGAGATTTTCATTGAAAAATTTCGATGTTATTTTTTTCATTTTTTTTACGAGTGTATAAAGATTGAATTAATGATAATAACATTAACTGGTATGTACATAAATGTACATGGTAGTTGAAAATTTGCAAGAAAACGAATTAGAATAGATAGAAACTCTAAAACTATATGCATAAATAAATTACACCTACTAATATTGAATAGGTAATTAAGTAAAAAAAAGAAAAAAGAAGTGAGTATACCTGTAACTTAAGCCTTTGACTGCCGACAGAAAACTATTGAAGGCTGACCGGTGACCTACGTGGCGGTTAACGTGTTAACAATTTCTTTTTTCAAATCATCATCTTCCTGCCCTTGTCCCGTTTTATTTGGGGTCGGCGCAATATGTTTTTTTCTTCCATTCTGTCCTGTCACTCGTCACGCTATCGCTAACTCCTCTGTCTTCCATATCACTTCTCACACAATCCATCCATATTTTCTTTGGTCTCCCCCTGCCTCTCCATCCATCCACATTTATACTCATGACTTTTTTTGTAACATGCTTTTCATCCCTCCTTTTCACATGGCCATACCAAGACAAACGGTTCCCTTTCAACTTTTCAGTCACTGGCGCCACTTTCAAACTTCAGCATTCTCATCTCTGCTACATGTGATTATTTATTTCTTTTTTCAAATATAGTGAAGTTATTTAGGAAGTTTTTATTATTTGAAAACATTGGCTCACCGATAGGGTTGCGTCCTGTTCGCAAGCGCTTTAATAAGCATATTAGGAAATACGCTTATTTTTCAGATAAATTTTATTAAATATTTTATTATATAAGTACTAAATTGAGAAGGCTAAAAAAATGTTCCAAAAATAATCGTAAAAAAATATGCCTAAAATTACCTGATATTGTATTGGTAATTTTCCCTAATACAATTAATACTTCTATTTATATTTACGAAAAAAATAAAAAGTCACTGTATACCTACTTAATATTATAACAATACTACAGAAATATAAAATGTAAATTCTATTTTCGACAACGACGATATTTCCATTCATGTAACGTTTAATATCGTACTTCCATTTGCAGATTATTACCTCTAGGCTCATTTGTTCGCGTTTCAGACAGAGACAACAAAATTACACACAACTAGAGTGAATTTTAGCTTGCGTAATAGTCAGGGAAGAAATATTTTAATGTTGCCTTTCTACGTTTTGAGATAACTGCGCCGTTGGTGCATGAAGAGGACATGTGAAAACATACACATTTTATTTGTACTTATGTACATATTATATATACAATTTCTTATTGATTGGTAATTGACGGTAGACTTCAACTTCACCTCACAGAAAATCTAAGGAATGAAGTACCGTCGGCTGTTCATATTATTTTAACCAAACCAACGATACGAGCCGGGGTTGCGGGATAAGCGCAATGAGGCACCGCGACCTCAACCCAGAGCAGTAGAACGAACGAGGGTTTTTAGTCAGTAAGAGTCTGACATTCCCTCCCGCCCGGTCCTGGGCGGGAGAATCATTTGATGATTTTCCCTTCACAAAAAAAAAGATACAAACCAAAAATACGATCTTCAGACCTTAAAAAAAACGAATTCCTTCTAAAATTAAAATTCGGCAGCGCACACGTCACTTGTGGTTCGGGATCTAGTTTGCATTTTAATTTAATAAAAAAAAAATATTTTATTATCATAATTGACGAAAAAATGAACATTACGAATTGTGTTCTGTTATAATGTAAAGTCCGTGTATTAAAAGTGAAGTGCAAAATTATCAACTTTCATATTAAATGCATGTCTGACTTTGTCTTTTTCAATTATTTTAGAACATAAACTCATCTTAAAATAACTAAACATATACTGTTTTATACGTTCTCTTACTTACGAATAAAAATTATTTTGTTCACTTATCAAAATCAAGTTCCTGAGAAGAAATCGTGAACAGTAAAATTATCACGCGGTACGACAACTCGCGTCTCGAATTAGCAACTGTGAGTCCGTGACACATTAAGAATCTGCTGAATCTGCTCAGACAAGAAATTTTTGCTACGACCGACTTGATTTGGCTGCATTGTAGAAAATACCATACGTTAAGATATTTCCAGTCAAGTTTGTATCAACTTCTGCCACCGGTATACGCTATTAAAAAAAAACCTATTGCTCTACGAAATTTCATTCGAACCATTTTTGAATGAAATTGTAACGTTCTTACGAACCATTATGTTGTGAGGTGTTGTGAAACATTTCTCACAGAAACTGGACAGCGATGCTCTCTAATAAACATGAATCTTTTAAGCTGCGATTCTTTAAGCGTTTTTGGCAAACTCTCATGTCAATAAAGCCTAAAGTCTAATAACAGACTACACAGGCTGATGATGTAAGAATATAATGAATGTGGGATCAATTGTAGGTATAACTATCCCCACAATGTGTGTGATGCAATTTCGAGTTTTTTTTTTATGTAATAGGTCTACAAACGAGCATACGGATAACCTGATGGTAAGCAATCAGCGCCGCCCATGGACACCCGCAACGTAGGAGTTACGAATAAGGGATTTGGAGATTTAGGGATTGAGGAGGGATTGGGGGAGGGGAAGGATTGGGCCTCCGGTAACCTCACTCACACAGCGAAACAACGTTGTGGCTGTTTCACGCCGGTTTTTGTGAGGCCGTGGTATCGCTCAGGTCGAACCAACCCATTCATGGCGAAACATAGCTCTCCCATACTTAAACTTGTTCTTTTTCTATTAATAAAAAATTAGCAAAATAGCGACCCAGCTTAATATGCGTACTTTATATTACTCGATGTTATCATTTTAGTGAATGTGACGAATATTTCTTTCATATAAACTGTGCAAAATAAAATAGTTAAATATTCGATTTTGTGCCATCTGCACGTACAGTTTTATTTCTGTAGATTTTTGTCCTCACCGAACAAGTAACTCGTCTGCACAGGCCAAAAGAGTGAATATAATAATTATTTATCTTAAGTATGATTGCAGAGAGCGACCTAAGTGCTCTCACTTGTCTGAATTCTGTAACAAATGTCAGTACCACGACCAACAGAACAAAACACTTTAGCGGATTGTGTTCTGAACTACAGCGCTGACACAGATTAAGTGGTACAACACGGTCGAAGCAATTGCTTAGTAATGGAATAATAATATGGTTTTCTTTGTATATTATGCTTCGTAATTTTTTGTATTGTAAACATAGTAATATCGGGTTATGTATTAATATTCTACCAAGGTGTAGAGGTTTATATAGTTATTGTTATATCCACTTCTAACGGCTTATATATTGCAATGTTTCATTTATATGAGGATGGGATATAGTTACATAGAGCCAGGGTTGCGGGTGCACCCAGCAAGCATAAGTACGTATCGTGTCCTCACCCTGGGCAAAATGCCACCGTAAGCGCGGGTCTGCGGTCGGCGAGTAAGGGCAGCTCGCCGCCCGAACAGAACCAGGCCCGAGTGTACGGCGCGTAGCGTTCCGCGCGCGCCTCAAAGAGCCAATAGACCACCACAGACGGGGCCCTATAGGGCTGAGGTTCAGCCGGGGTTGCGGGGTAAGCGCAATGAGGCACCGCGACCTCGGCCCAGAGCAGGAGAAGGAACAGAGGGGTTTTTAGTCAGTTTTTTTTTTTTTTTTTTTGTGAGGGGAAAATCATCAAATGACTTCTCCCGCCCAGGGCCGGGCAGGAGGGAGTGTCAGACTCTTACTGACTAAAAACCCCCCTGTTCCTTCTCCTGCTCTCTCATTGCGCTTACCCCGCAACCCCGGCTGAACATCAGCCCTTTAGGGCCCCGTCTGTGGTGGTCTATTGGCTCTTTGAGGCGCGCGCGGAACGCTACGCGCCGTACGCTCGGGCCTGGTTCTGGTCGGGCGGCGAGCTGCCCTTACTCGCCGACCGCAGGCCCGTACTTACGGTGGCCGGAGATCGTCCCTCGATCCCCGACGCCCGTAGTGTCGCCAGTTGCGGCTGCTGGGGCGTGAGGAGGAGGATTGCTCCCTCACGCGGGCCGCCTCTCTCTTTGCGAGCATGACTGCTTCACAAAAGGAGGAGACGGCGTCCCAGTTCCTCTCACTCCGCACCATGGCCTCGACTAAGGCCGGGCGCGAGAGGTCGCCGCCGCCGATCACTTCCCTGAGGATACGGCGGTGCTCAGCCCAGGCAGGGCATACCGCTACCGTATGCTCCACCGTATCCTCTAGGTGGTCCTCACAATGACGACACTCGGGCGTTTCCTCCCGCTGAATCCGAAACAGGAACCTACCGAAGCTGCCGTGCCCGGTAAGCACCTGCGTCAGACGGAAGGTGAGGACGCCGTGGCGTCTCTCAAGCCACTCCTCAAAGAGGGGTCTTACCGCTGCTATGGTAGCGTGCCCGGCCCTCGGTTGCGACAGTCGTTGTCTCCACTCTGCCATGAGATCTCGCCGGAGCTCATTCCGCCACGCACTTATTTGGCGCGGCAGAGGATCTTCGCCCCGGCGACGCGCGTCTGCGCGCAAACTGTAGACGCGCGCGAGCGCCTTCGCTTCTAGATCCCACGGCGGTGATCCGGCAAGGAGGTTCGCCGCCTCCCCGGAGATCGTGCGATACCCGCGGAGTTAGTCAGTAAGCGTCTGACACTCCCTCTCGCTCGGCCCTGGGCGGGAGAAGTCATTTGATGATTTTCCCCTCACAAAAAAAACCCTGAGCAAATTAACCAATTTAAAGATTTTACCTCCTCAAAACATCGGCACAAAATGTAAACAACCTTTAAAATGACAATCTATTTTAAATATGTAATTATATTTGTCAGATTTAATCTGCATATAAATTGAATTAAATTTTAAACAAGCCACAATATTATTAAATGTCTCCCAGTTAAAATGGTACAATATTAAAGAAATCACGAAACCAAAATACTTTATATTACACCTAATTCTCTTTAAACCTTTTCTTGATAAACAAAAATAACGCCTCGTGGTAATGCTTAAAAAATAATACGGCGTCCATTATTTCAAAATTTTCCTCTTTACTTAATTGAGTGAAGTCTCTTCACTTCAAACTGTCTGACGCTGCAGGATAAACAGCTTTTTAAACCTACCCCCAGAATTTTTATTCTTTCTATATGTATATTTACGTTTTTATTCGTTTTTATAATAAACTTTTTTATCTAACAGGTTGGCAAACGATCAGACTGATTACCTGATGGTAAGCAATCAACACCCGCAACGGAGGAGTTACGAGTGCGTTGCCGACCTTTGAGGGATTAGGGTTTTGGAGATTTATGGATTTGGAGGGATCGGGGGAGGGGAAGGATTAGGCCTCCTTACTCATACTAGCTCCTTTTAGCGGCTTTACTCGCAGTACTAGTGTAAGAAGTAGCCTATGTTGTTAACTTATTCTAGAGTATATTCTGTCTCTATGCCAAATTTCATTCAGATCCGTTCTGTAGTTTTTACGTGAGAGATTAACAAACGCCCATCGATCATCACTTTCTAACTGTCACGTTTATAATATTAGTAGGATGTTTTATATCGACTAGTGATCTGTTTACTGCCTCGGGGCGCCAAATAACTGTTTTTATTATCTGTTTTTGATAATACATTTTGTAGATTCTCTGACTAAATGTTAGTGTTTAACTGTGGTCACACAATACATAGAACCGAGTAAATAATGTAACAAAGAAGGAATTGTGAAACTGATTGAAAAAGACTAAAAACGGAGTTTCTAACTAGTTCTTCCTCTTAGAAATCTACACTTTGGAATGACCAAATAGCTTCCCTAGAAGACTCACGAAGTTGCACTTCCTGATATGTTTTTTTTTGTGGTTTTACATTCAACATTGCCTGTACTGGTTTATTTCAAAATAAATAATAAATTTGAGTTTAGCGGAGTTAATGCTGTGTGCAAAAATAAGCTCATTTACTATAAAGACAGAATCTGAACGAAAGTTGGTGTCAAAATTTTATCGTAGCTACGGCCACGGAAACTAGTCAGATAAATGTTATCTGAGGAATGAAATTGTGGCTGTCACTGTCTTATATAAACATTCTGACGCGACAACGTCATAATTATTCCCCAGGTAACCATTTTATTAACCATTTAATTAATTTTGGAAAAATAATTAAGGTCATTTACTGTTAGGTAACGAAATAATCTACTCGTCTGCATAAAAAATAAATAATAAAACTATTAATAGAATAAAATGTATATACATACATTGTATGTCAAGATTTCCTTTTGTAGTTTGTGATTGAAATCGAAATAGAATTTTCCTTAGTGGAACTGTATAAAATTCCTAGAAATCATTCAGGTCTAGCCGCCTGCGGCTTCCTTTTAGTACTATTTATTATCATTCTAAAAAGATATTTAATAATTACTACACCCACGTCGTTTCATCCCCTGCTAGACTCCTATCGGTCCTAGAGCGATGTTTTTGTCCATAACATTTCCCAATAACTTTACTATCTAACTCAAAAAGTATTATCAAATTCGAATCAATAATTCCAGAGATAGGGAGCTCAAATAAATAAACAAATTCTTTAACTGCCAGAACGTTAAGGGGCCCGCTTCTCATACATGTGAGTGTGGGTTCAAAATGTAGCTAGTGCACCTACGTGCACTTTCTAAGTTTATTTACCATTTACATTATAATTTAAAACTATTTTTATAAGTTTAAACCACTAACCGTTGTGAAGCGTGATGATAAATGCTCAAACCTTGTTCCTGTGAGAAGACGCCTTTCCTAAGTTGTGGACAGTTACCTATAGGCTGGCTGATGATGGTGATGATAAAATCAGTAAACTTTTTGGTCGTCAACAAGCAAAATTTTCGTCACAGGCCACTTTTCTTTTTGTATTGTTTGATTTTTTTTTTATCTACAATTTACTAATGGAGTCTTTATCAATGAATATTGGGATTGTATCTCATATGAGTACAACAGCTAAAGAAATATATAATGTTAACGTTAAGGTTTATCTGGAGTTGGGCTTAACTAAATAAGTAACATTTCACCAGCATGAGATAACGGCATGCATCAAAATATGTAATGACCAATTTAATACTATTCTATATTAAACTAACGGACCTTCTTCGAAACCGAAAAATATCAAATTTCAGCGCAATCGTTTTGGCCGTTTCTAAGATCACATGCTTTTTAAGCAATCAGCACCATCTGCTAGGCCATTTGTGAATCTAAACCAATCAGGGCGCCACTCCGACGCATACAGAAAAATCATTTAAATCGGTTAAGCTGTTTAGGAGGAATTCAATGACATACAGACGTACAGCAGAATTATATAAAAATATAGGACCCGCTGTACTCAGAGTCATTTAATGGTTACTTAACCCAATACTTAGCATTTATTTGCAGACTAAAATAACTATCTCTAAGTAGATCAGTAAAATATAAAACAGTATTTTTTTCTTCTCCCTATTTGAACCCATAATAGTACAAGGAAAACAAAAGAAATAAATTAATCAGGCGTCCTCGTACCATGTATCTTCGTTAAGGTTGTATTTCAAGTCCAAAGTGACGGGAGGAGGGAATACATGTCCCTCTCAATGTATAAATCATTGGATTTAAGATACAATAGGAAATGTTAAAGAGATTAGGTAACTTGATATAGTAGAAAGGCATACTATTGGACCTTTTTTGTCATTCATTTGTTATTAATTTTAATTGATCCAAACTTCCTCTCACATAAAAATCTTAACACCATCTTTTATTGATCGCAATTGTTTTTCATCAATTTATATAAATAAAAATATTTAGATTATTCTCTTATTACTGTTTTTCTGACTCGAAAATTAGTTTTAATGTGCTTTTTTGTTTTGTAATTTTAATTTAGTTTTTTCATATTGATATAGTTGTTTATTTTTTTTTTATATTGTGTTTACCGTTAATTAATTGTTTTATGGAAGCTTTAGTAAAATTATGTTTATTTTTATCTACATATGTGTAAACAATTAATGTTCATAGAAACACAAAGAGAAAAAGAAAAAAATATACATCAAGCTGATAATTTAGGTCGTAATTATTATACTTACCTTATATTTTATCAAGAACTAATTGTCGTGCTTTTAAGCGTTTTACATTACTTATCACTTAAAACAAGCACACACTCATAGGTTTTTTTTTAATTGCAATAAACTAGTCATTGACTGCGATCCCACCTAATGGTAAGCAGTGATGTAATCGTTGATGATAAGGCGCACTAAAGCTAAGAGCCTATTCACTCTAGCCTTGAAGACACCTAAATTGTATTCGGACGGAATAGATAGGTCCCATTTAGTTCTTAATAAGCTTTCCATGCAGATGTTGACAGTTCGTCTCCTAGTAGAATCACTAAGATTCTGTCTCCTGCATAAAATTAATCGAAGAAAATGATGTTAATATTTAACAAATTTATAAAATCTGTCTGTCATTGTTTATTATAAAGTTTTACAAAAATAGTAACTTAAAAATATTACTCTTATAAGTAGGTAATATGACTT